TCTCCGTTCCACACTGTGACACCCGTATTCATCAAACAGTCGATGGTGTAGAAAAATAACTTCAAATTAGAAAACAAAAAACAATATTATTATCGAGTATATAGCAATAATTATAAATGAAATCGAGCGCGCTTAAATGAGAAAACAATTATAGTTGGCAAGAAAATTTTTCAGTTTGCAGATGATGTATTAGAATAAAAAGGTTGCAGGATATATGTGAGTTCCCCATTTCAGCTCCAAAGGAGCTGCGCTAACAAGCTTCTTTTATATAAAACGGGTGTCTTATTTCATACATGAAACCTGAATAAGTCAACTTATGGATCAGACTGAATTACAAAGTTCCATGAGTGCAGATGTGGGTGTATGAATGTGGGTGTGAGAAAAGAAGAGATCAACATCCGGACCCACCCACACCCTCATATTTTCTCTCTTATCCTAATTTTTTGTAGTGACCTATAGAGCTTATAAATAAAGAAATGATATGCAGACTCATAAGTCGATTCAAAGACTTTATCAATGTGTAATAAATAAGATGCTCTTTAATGATTTACCTCCATGGAATAATCTTGGACATAGCTGTCGAAAAAGATTTCTTCTTGGCTGTAAGTTCGTAAGCCCTTTTGTTTGTCCTTTGCTATTCTATATTATATCTATATTGCAACAAGGTTCTTCGAACTTACCGTTGAGAGTATTTTCTCTTTAGTTTCTGTGATCGTTATATAGATAGTGAAATCAAATGTAAATGCTCTTTTTTCGTCTGTTTTTTTTATGACAAATGCAATTTACAAAGTGATAACAGTTGATGCATTTCTCCTTAGTTGACTTCAACTTACATAGCAAAAGATACAAATAATCTACCTTTTTATATTTTTAGTAATATGAGTTAATGTAAATCCAAGAGCTATGTTTCATGTCGTTAGTTTGCAGAGCATCACATCAAAGACGAGAAGAAAGAGCAAAAGAAATAATAAACAAAAATACTTCACGTGGAATGTATATTAAATTACAGTGCACGTCAAAAGTCTCGCACCACTTTTTTCTTTTGAGCCCTGTATTAAAACAATCCATTATAATTTTAAAAAAAAAATTTAACACTAGAAAGCAGAGATCGAGTACTATCTGTATACATCTGTTTAAAAAATAAAACTCTTGAATCTAAAATAAAACAAGATAAAACAAACTTTTCTACTAGAAGAAAAATATCATGAAAAACTACAAAATCAGGTTATTTTTATTAATTTATGAAAAATGATGATGATGATTTAATGGAAATGGACAATCTTTATATACATCTTGCTCATACGTAATACCACAAGAGTGTGGATATGAGTATGGGGTCGGTGTTGGTGTGGCTCTGGCTGTGTGGATGTCGGTGTCCGGATGTGAAGTGTGTGTGGGTGTCGAGAGTGTGTGATTTTGTGAGTGTCTGATGTGTTTGGGTGTCGGGAATATGTGGGTGTGTGAGTGTCGGATGTGTGTGGATGTCGGGGGTGACGGATGTATGGGCGTTTTTCTTTTCTTAATCCATACCCACACCCACACACTTGTAGTATTACGTATGAGCAAGATGTATAGAACGATTGACCATTTCCATTAAATCATCATCATCATTTTTCATAAACTAATAAAAAATCACCTGATTTTGTAGTTTCTCATGATATTTTTCTTGTCGCAAAAAAGTTTGTTTTATCTTGTTTTAGTTTAGATTCAAGAGTTTTATTTTTTAAACAGATGTATACACATAGTACTCGAGGGTGTGGGTGTGGATGAATGCAGTAGAAGACACCCATACCCATACCCCACACCCACAGCCACACCCACACCCACCCACGCCCATCCTACTAAATACTGTGAATATTTTTCGAGGTAAGTTATTGAATTTTCCTTCTAATTTGACTTTGAAATATATCCTATGAAATATACGAAGCTTACAAACAGCTATCTATAAACTTGAATGGAATCTCCATCGGAGTACCAATTTAGTAAACAACATTTTCGAGCTTTTCATATTGCGATTGATCAAGACGGAGACAGAATTGATCAGAATTTCTCAAAATGTGTACTAATAATACCAGTCTGACGAGAGTAGACCAGATTAATCGGTCTAAAATTCGTCGTGGTATCGGTTCTATCTCTGGATCAATATAGAAATTAACTCATCAATATTTTATTTTTATTTGTCTTTATTTCTTCCAGAAGGTTAGATATTTTAGACACAAACAAATGGGTCAGATGATTTTGTAGAATATTGTTGGTAGAATGATTTAATTTCTTTGGGAAAACAATAGTGAATGATTGAATATAATGTGCTTTTGCTAATGATTTTAATATAGCATTAGGATCCCATTTTGACTTTGATAAATTTTATATAAAAGATATTTCTTGATGTATCTCAACTCATTGAATTCTGATTATTTTCTTAATCATGAATCCATCGATCTGAAGAGTTTCATTTTATGCTTTATTTTAATCATGAGATGCCATATTTCAATGGTTAAGTCTGAAACCTGTTATTACATTTATGTATCAATATGAAGAAACTAACTCTATTGACTCTCATATTTCTTGAATATCATGCAATGATGGTAGTTTCTTTTCTTTCCAACTTCCAAAATCAATATTTTGGATGGTAATATTTTATATAAAAAAGGAGAATGAATCGAAAATCAGAGCATTATTATTGACAAACTCATTTTTTCTGATAAATCAACAAGTTACGGATGTTTTTTCAAACTTTTTACTTTCATATATGAACGAAATTCACTAAATATTTGAGAATTTTCGTAAGGGTACAAAAAGAGGAATAAACTGATAATGATTCAGAAAAAGAAAAGGATTCATGCAAGAGTCATTGTGCAAGATGTATATAATTTCCAGAGAGATCATATTCAAAAGACATATCGAATGAAAATTACATTTTCGTTTTTCAATAATTTTATAGCCGTTATTGATATGCTTGATGAACAAGTCTAATCAATTGTTCAGATACAAAATTTTGAGATCACTAAAACCAGAAAGATGGTTTTCACAATTTTTATTATTAATACATCATTTTCTATAGTAACAATGACTTAGACTCAAATTTGTAAGTTTAGTCATGTTTTTTTGAAGAAGTTTATGTGATATCTCCAGGAAAACATAGAAATGGCTGACCTACATATTTATATAGTGCTACTCTGATTACTTTTCATTTTGTTGATACAACATAATGCTTCACTTTGATTAATTATTAACTAAAGATCATCATAATACATCCGATAGAAATAATTTTGTTCATGAACATTCATCTCAATATCGTCCGCAGGCTACAGAGGATACAGCATCCAATGCACAAATATCGCACTCTCAAAATATTCCAAGGCAAACCGAAGAATCATTATTACCAAATCATCAATCATATCAAAGCACAGAAAAGTCAATCGAACGATCAGAATTCCAAATTCATCAGGAAATACCCCAAAGTACTACAACACCCAGATCAACACCTCAAGCAACAGATGAAGCTACTGCACTACGTGCAGAAATAGATAAATTTCGCGAACAAAATTCAGAGCTGATCCAGTGTTTTCAAAAGTCAAACATAGAATTGAAAAGAAAAAAGATCGATTCATTCGAAGCATTGATTGAACAAGATAAAGAAATGCAGAAAATTTTCATTGAATTGACTAATCTTACTCCACCGATGCCAATGGAAGGCAATAATATTGCTTTATTCGGTTTGACATCAACTGGTAAATCAACAATGCTAAATTCTATTCTTGGTCAAAAGCTTGCCGAAACTGGTGTTGGCGAAACAACAAAAAAGATTGTATCATATCCAAGTAGTAATTTCACACTCTGGGACGTTCCTGGTCGCAATGATGAAATGTCGTATATGAATATGGAATATATTTCATTTTTCAAAGGTCTCTCCAAACGTTTGATTCTAATTGAAGCAACCGTAAAGGAAAATTCAAGTATGATGAAACTCTTAGATGCAATTCAATTACCTTATGCAATTGTTTTCAATAAATTTGACAAAGCTGATGACGATGAACAACAACAAATCCAACAACAGATTGAACACGAACATGAAACACTTGGTTTACAAAAAGTTGATCAAGTTTTTTTTGTCAGTGGAAAATTTCCAAACAAGTTTCCTGGTTGGCAAGCAATGCTCCATTATATGCGAAATTCTCGTCACTGACAGTAGTATTTGATCCATTTATTGATCCTATTGAACAGCTAGTTTTTAAAATAAACAGAAGATGACTTGTTTACGAAATGCATAGATCTCGCATAGTGTGTATTGGTACTATTAGAGATACGCGGGTATGTACGTGTGTGTGGATGTGGGTATCGGCATAGAATACTTTGAAACGAACACCGCAGACATCCTCACCCAATCCCACATCTACAGCCATGGACCAATAAGCTTCTCCCGTATCCTGACCCACACGTGAAGCTTTTCGTTCTATTCCAGAGCACAGGGCCTCGAAGTCCTATCCACTGATTATTTTCTGTATAATACAATCTTTGTCGAAATTTAAATGTAGAATAAGTCACATGAAGAAAACATTGCTGGCATTTCTATAGAAAAATATGAAGTATAGGAAAAAGACTCTAGCTAAGATATAAGACGTCATCAATCATTCAACTATTCTGCTCATCTTTATTCCGATTTATTCCGGATTCTTCCTCTATTATGCATGAGTTTTGTTCACGAAACAAATTACTTCAAAATGAATGTGCTATTATTTGATCAACGGCGATCCTGAACCTAAAGAAATGAAAGATTGATCAAACGGCATTCAAGTGTGAATATTTTCAAGAACCCAAATGATTTGCATTTTGTGCTTTTCAAAACAGAAAACTATCGTGACCTTTCCTCGGACTTTAGCTATTTGAGATCAGTTATAAAATGTTTGTCAAAATCTGTTCCAAACGTTAAATTGAATCTCATATGTAGCAGATTTGTTGAGAAAAATCCTACTGTACTGGAAACAATGTCTGATTACTCTTTCGAGTTCGTTTTGATTAGTCTTCGTTGTTTAGATCGTTAAAAAGTTATTCAATATCTATTTGTGAAATTTTGTTTTAAATTTTAGTCGTGTACAATCTTGACATGGATTTGCTCGCTCAACCTAGTCAACAGATTGAATGGACAACAGCAACAAAGATTGTTGATCGTCATTAATTTGTACGAAATCTTGCTTGTCTTAAAACCTAGGCTGGAAAAAAACCTATCCATATTCCATTTTTGACTTCTTACAAGTAGTTGCTTAGCGCTAACCCAAATCGATATATTTACTGAATAAAAGCATTTCTCTACATTTGCCGACGACGTTTGAATTCGCCTTGGATTTGATTTATATCGAGGAGGAGCATAAACTGGTATTATCGTGATTCAGTGAATGTTTTGTAGGACGCGTGAAATCTAAGTGATCACCTTCATAGAGGCCCTGTAAATTTTATGTGTATTGCTGCTGGCAGAAAGAATAATTTTCGCCCTTCCTTTTGGATCCATACGTGTCCGATATACTATCAATTCATACATTAGTCACCATTCACGTTGCTGACGAGTCCATTGAGAAGGAATCATCCAAAGATTGAAATTAGTCATGCCCACTGTGTCCATATTCTTCTGGCTCGATTTATTCATGGACAAATGCGATGCGGAAGAGGGTGTGGATGTTGGTATCGTCACCGTCGAGATTCACACCCTACCCGAGATCAAATGTTGCTTCGTTGAGATAGCAATGTAGCAACACGAGAGAACTAAAAGTGCATTCTAATTTGTGACATGCTCTGTAATGAATCAAGGCTGTTTCCTTCAGGAAAAGGAACTAAAATAACTTCACTTAAAAATATCTTCGTATCTCAGTTTTTCAGACTACTCTAAGAGCTATCCGGGTCATTATTAGAATATCTTCGAAAAACTGTCGTTGACGAAGAATCTGAAAAATGAAAGGTGCCCTTTTTTTACATATCCTCCACCTGACAGTATACCCAATATCGTAACAAACATATCATCAGTATTTCATGTAAAGCAAATCGATGATTTTTTTCAGACAAAGAATTTTCCAATAAAGTTAAAAGTATTTATTCACAATCAGTTGTATCTTCTGATAATCTTCTATCGATGTCCGTTACAATAAATTCACCAATTCTGTTGTGCTATATAACAAATCAGACACTACATTTTATTGACAAATTAGAAAAATAAAACTCGATTCAAAAGAAAACGAAAACAAGAAACGATGAAAATTTCAACAGGCGAACAACAGTTTCTTCGTGCCAGTCGTTCTTGTTTTGGTTTAATTGAATGTGAAATCCTCTCTTATGATTGTAGATTTACTGTTACTTTTCTTCGATGCACACTATTAATATCAAAAGAAGAATGTACAGTTGTATAGTCTGTAATATCCCTAAAATATATCTCTATGTATGGTTACAAGCAAATGTTTACAGTAAAAGTTATCTCTTCCAGCTCGAATTGTATAATACAACAAAGTCTCTATCTGTTGTTGAATTTCATCTAATTCTTTTATATTATTTTCAAACATTTCTCGTTTGTGTATCTTTAACTGCAAACGAGTAACTCGAGGATAATACTTTCTCAAATCTTGAATAAAACTGGTTAAGGTCGATAAATATTTATCAAAAATTATTTCATACATGAAAATGTAAGTGTTTTCATCGTTGGAATGATCATCAATAAATCATAGAAGGATGTGGCATGTTGGCCACTAGAAAAACAAAAACCCAAAGGAAGATTGAAGTGAGTAATTTGATTTATGCTTTTCCTAGGAATGAGTTCTTTTAATTGTTGAATCATTTTCTTTGAGGCGCTCCTGTTGACAGTTAAAGTGAGCGGATTTGATGAGAGAACTATGACTTTAGAGAATAATCGAAGCAGGTCACGTATGACATTTTCAATCGAAGTATACAACTGTAATTTCTTTAGATTTGTGAGTTCGATGTTCTCTTTTAGTTCAAAGGTAGTAGGTAAAATTTGAAGATGACTGTATGTTACGTTTGTTAGTGTAGTGCAATTCAGGTGTAAATTCGCTAGATGTAGTGTTAAATCTCTTAGACTGCAAAAGAGTGAAGACAGAGTAGTAGTGGTTAGAGAATTGTTCAGCGTTTGAAAATTGCAAGTGTGATTGGCAGCCTGCCAGAATATAATATTGAAACGTTTGAAGGTGACTGAAATTGTTTACTAAACTATGTAGCTGATCAAAATCAGAAAATTCTTTGGCAGCACTATCAACAATTAGTATAAAATATCTTAGCTCATTGTTGAATACTTCCAAAAACTTTACAGATTGTAAATCTGGTTGAGTTTTAAAATATTTATCATATCGTCCAAACTCCAAATGTATTTTTTCTAATGTTTTTAGCATTTCTAAATAATGTAAATCTACTAAACCTTTAAAATTTAACATCGATAAATTTAGTTCACCCAGGTTTGTCATAATTCCCAACAATCTTACTCATGCTGGAATAGACTTCATTTGAAGTGATAGGCATTCCATACAGGACGTTTGTGAAACACCATTCAGATATTCAAACCCTTGTGATAAAGTAAATGTTCGTCAGTAATGCGTTCCAAACGAGCTGATAATCATTAATACTTCCTTTTCTGGCATAGTGTTAACTTCAGCTAATATTCTGTTTATATCATTTGTTGCTTTTTCAAAACAACACGAAAGAAAAACCGAACTGAATAATACACGCACTTAGCAACACACTCATTAAGATCTTTTTTTTCTCAAAACAGCGCCTTCATTCACTAACACTCTCCCACTTTTTAAATAAGATTATTGTTATTATGTTTTTTGGCTTCGACGAGATGGTTTATACCATTGCTGTGTT